CCAAAGTTCTCTGGTTTATACCAACTTCAAATGAGACGTCGATTCCGACGCGACGCATACGACCGCAAAGTATTAAATCGCATTCGACTTTGGAACTAGGTTTCGTAGAAAATAGTCGAAGAGAATGGGCGACGTGGTTATCGATCGTAGCCACTATCGGAAATAATTTAACGCTTCTGTCAGATTGTGATTAATAAGGCGCATTGTGAAATATGATCTCCACTCGCGGAATATTGGCTCAAAAGACAACGAACGAAAGTCGTATTCGTTGATGGAGCACAACATACTTCCGATAAAGAATCGCTCTAAATATGATTGATGTGACCGCGTAACGAGCCGAGATTCGAATCTCTTCTTTCTATACATTTTCCCGTTATCGATGTACATGTAACCGTTCGTGCGCGCGAGCGCTTACTGTACCCACGACAGGTATGCAAATTCCACACGGAGAGTTACGATGCTCCCCGATAATTTAGCTAACAAATTCTGCGATGCACTTAATGACTGTGATTAGCTGTGATCATCGAGGGCCGTGACCATCGTTATTGAGGTCAACTCCAACGGATACCCATTGATGCTCGTATCGCGTGATTTCAAACATTACTACGAATAACTTTTTCATCATTCCGAATAATAACCACTTGCAAAAATCTCAAGCGTATCATAAATAAATCTCTATCGAAGGAAATTTGTGCAAATGAATTCTTTCTCACGATTATTCTGATACATACGGTATGAATGAATAAGTAAAAATAGTTCAATAGATATAATTTAAAGTGGAAAAGTTGGGAAGAAAGTTTTAATAGCAAAAAAATTGCTTTACTCGAACGATTCGGAAACAATTGAAACTTTTATCGTGCAAAGGAAGAAATCGGTTGAAGCTCTCATAATCACTATGTTCTATAAGTAAACATAAATGTAAAAAAAAATGACGTTCCAAGGCGTGGATTACAATATCGTGGCATATGGATAAAACGACGGAAAGTGGATAGGTTGTTCTCGCAGTTTCTTAGGTTGAAAGGCGTGTCTGTGAGACGGTAAGGCGCCAGAAGACACACTACAATTGTAGCTTCCAACTTCTGAGGACAATGTTGCTCCGACCCGTTCTCTTGTTCCTCTTTCTCTTGTCTCCTGCTACCTTCTCTCTGCTTCTTCTTCTGCTTTTTCTTCCTCTTTCTCACGCCACCTTTATATCTTCCTCCTTCTTCTTTGGAATAGCGAAAGATACCTCTACCGGTTGCAGTCCAGCCTGCAATCCTGTCGTTCCTCTCTTTCACGACTACGATGCTACTAAAATCCGTAAGATAATCGCTATTTTCCTATCTCTCTTTTTCTTCCCTCTTCCTTCTTTCTTTCTCTCTCTCTCTTATTGTGATATCGACGATCCTCGCGCACCTGTGGATTATGGATGAATTAAGCAAGAGTTCGTTACGAGATTACTTTCGTTCTGAGTTTTTGCCATTTGCCTAAAGATAACGTTAGTATATATCTATGTAAAATAAAAGAGAATCTGTTTTAACCAAAACTATAAATTATACAGAATAATTTCTCGAATATGTTTTTGCATTTAGTTTAAATATTTGTTAAATCAATGATTAATGTCGATTCAAAGTTTATAGATACGTAAGATTTAATGTTTCATTATATTGTATGCTAAATAAAAGACTTCCATATATTTGAGAACTAAAGATAAAACTACAATATATAATAAAATGACACAAATACGAAATAAATTTAACGAGGTGCGATTTTTGTCTTATATTTACGTGTTTCCATCAATTTTGGCCAGGCAGCTTTCCCAGTATCAGATATAACAGAGCTTTCGTCCGGCCTGTGTTGGTCAATACAGGCTATCTACCGAGTAGCTGGATAAAACAAAACCCAAAGCATTAGGAGGGTACGAGAACTCATTTCAAGAAAAGACGTATCTATCTACCACCTTCGAATTCACCCGAATAAACCGCTATATTCTCTGACAGAAAGTTGAGAAACTCAATAGAAGGAATAGTCCGTTTGTTTCTGTGTCTGGTTACGACATGCGTGAGAGGAGAACCGGATAACGCGTTGAGTACGCCTGAAAATTCTATCAACGTCAATTGCTTTTATATCATACCACACTTGAACTCTTAAATTAGTTTAGATGAACAAAGACACCAATGGATGTACTGTTATTTGACCGTACTCTAAAAAATCTTATTACTCTAAAGATGTTCTATGTTTCTTTCAGAATAAGACTTTATAAAATAGAAAATTTAGGACGATGTAAATGAGAAACTCGAAACAACTTCAGTATTCTTAACATACTATGCGTATATACTTCTTGTGAAGAGGCAATCTCAGAGGTACTTTTGGGGCTTCACCAAACGTGAAGAGCCACAAGGAAAATAAAATAGGGAAAGTATGGTAAAGTTAAAAATGTTAAAGATACATTTCGTAGAAACTTGCCTATCTTGTTTTCGAATAGAACAAGAGAGTAAAATTATAAATAATAAACTAAAAATATTAAAAGCATAATTTCTCTAGATAGATAATGTACTCGAGTGATTACAGATCATAAATCCATCGATATTTTGCAAAATTCAGTTTTGGTATTATATTGTAATAATTCCTGTAATATAGGACATATACGAATAGAAATAATTTTATTTTTACAATCTAATAATTTTATCCAAATATTACGTGAATTTTCAAATGAATATACTTATAAAAATTTCTTTTATCTTTTATA